ACACCCTCAGCCTTTCTCTTTCCTTTAATTTCTCTCTCTCTCCCCTCTCCCCCTCCCCCCTCTCTTTCTCTCTGTCACCGAGGACCAAGCCTTACACCCTCAGCCTTTCTCTTTCCTTTAATTTCTCTCTCTCTCCCCTCTCCCCCTCCCCCCTCTCTTTCTCTCTGTCACCGAGGACCAAGCCTTACACCCTCAGCCTTTCTCTTTCCTTTAATTTCTCTCTCTCTCCCCTCCCCCCCTCCCCCCTCTCTTTCTCTCTGTCAAGGAGGAACCGAAGTCACCATTGGTTTATCTCTTTCTTTCTTCCTCTCTCTCTCTCTCTACTCTATCATGGAGGAACCAAAGTCACCATTGGTTTATCTCTTTCCTTTAATTTCTCTCTCTCTCCCCTCTCTACTCTATCATGGAGGAACCAAAGTCTCAGGCTGTAGGTCTATGTGAAAATTTATTTTGACTTACACCTAGTTTGAGTATTCTCTCTCTAGTTCTCTTTCTTTCGCTCACTCTCTAGTTCTCTTTTTTCCGCTCACTCTCTCTATCATTTGTGTCGATGGGGGCGTAAAAACACCAACATTTTTTCATTGGTTTTTTAAAAATTTCTCTCAATCAAGGGAGATATTTTGGTTTTCACCTAGTTTACATGTTCTCTACTCTCTCCACCTCTCTTTCTTTCTCTCTACCGGTGTTTCTGGTATAGCCGCTAAGCACTTTGCTGTTGCATGCAGGAGACGAGAGTTCAATTCCCAAGTGGTGAAAAAATGTATACTGAAGGAGTCTGGTGCGACATACTACGATGTCAAATGACAGCAACAAAATGTACAAAAAACAAACAAGTCCAGAAGTCAAATTTTCAGGTCTAAGCTACAAAAAAAAATCACAGACATAAAAACGTTTTCTTTACTTTTATCACCAGACTAAAACGAAACAGTGTTACAATTTTGGACAACTGAGTTTGAGAAATGCTGACTTTTGTAAGAAAGATGGTACGTAAACATATAATGGGATTAACGAACTACAGCCCATGAGCACACTAAAGGTCAAAAAGTACACACACACACACACTAATGCACTCTCCCACACACACACACACACACACACACACACACACACACACACACACACACACACAACTTTCAAACAAAAATCTGCATGCACGCTCCAACACCCATCCATACACACACACATATCCACAGGCACACGCTTGCTCCCATCCATACGTTCGACACACCCCCACACACATTTACCAACACATGCCC